AATAATAATAATAATAATGCATTTTATTTATAAAGCGCCTTTCAGGACACCCAAGGACGCTATACAATAGAAAAATAAATAAAATGAAGGAAAAAATAACAAAACTGTAGATCCATATAATGATAAGGTAGTGTGGGAGAAACAGAAATGTGGAGTACAGAACAGTCGTATGATAAAATACAATAATGCAGACAAATTGAACAATAGGGTTGTGGGGGAGAAACACTGAAGTGAGGACAACAAAAACACACACACAGTATATTGAAGATCAGAGTTAACAGTAGGATAATCTGAGAAGATGTGTCTTCAGACCAGTCTTAAACTGGGAGAGCTGGTGTTGTGTAATCCATGGAGCAGTGAGTTCCAGAGCTGAAAGCTCTGCTCCCCATGGTGCTGAGGAGGGCAGGAGGTACTGAGAGGTGGAGGAGGAGCCAGATCTTAGAGAGCAGGAGGCTGTGGAGATGTTCAGGAGGTCACACAGGTGAGGAGGGGAAAGATTGTGGATAGCTTTGAAGGAGTGCAGGAGAATTTTAAAGATGATGCAGAATTTAACGGGGAACCAGTGGAGCTGTTGTAGGAATGGAGTGATGTGGGATTTAACTGGGAACCAGTGGAGCTGTTGGACTGGAGTGATGTGGGCAGAGGATGAGGTTTGRGTGATTACACGGGCTGCTGAGTTCAGAACCATCAGTAGTTTGTGAAGGGATTTGTTGGGGAGGTCAAACAGTAGGGAGTTGCAGTAGTCAATCCTGGATGTTACTAGGCTGTGTACAAGGATGACAGTGGAGCAGGGAGTGAGTGAAGGACGGAGACGGTTAATGTTGTGAAGATGAAAGTAGGCAGATTGAGTCACGTTGTTAATGWGGGATGTGAAAGAGAGTTTTTGTGTTGTCAAGGATGACACCTAGGTTGTTGACCTGAGGCGAGGGGGAAAGAACAGAGTTGTTAAGAGTGAACAGAAGATGCTGGGATTTTGAAATGGAGTTTTCTGTCCCAACAAGGAGGAGTTCAGTTTTGTTATGATTTAGTTGGAGGAAATTGTTGGAGAACCAGTTGTTGAGCTCACTGAGGCAGTCGATAAGATTGGAGGATGGTAAGGTGGAGTTCGGTTTTGTTGAAAAGTAGAGCTGAGTGTCATCGGCATAAGAGTGGAAATGGACACCAAATTTATAGAAGATGTGGCCAAGTGGGAGCAGATAGATTATGAAAAGTAGAGGCCCGAGTACAGAACCTTGGGGAACACTGGTGGAGATGGGTGAAGACTGGGAGCAGAAGGACTTGAGCTGTATGAACTGAGTGCAGTCAGAAAGACAGGATTTAAACCAGTCCAGGGGGTGTCTGAGATGCCAAAAGAGGTTAGTCTGTCGATGAGGATAGGATGAGAGACAACTAGCAATTTCTAATCAAAATTAAGCTATTGTCATTCATTTTGTTGTCAGAATGTTGTCAACGATTTGCAGAACGCCTGWTTCCAATAACTTGTAACAGATTGTAAAATTCCACTTTGTGTTTGTGATGATTGCTCAAATCTAGGCRGCACGGTGGYTCAGTTGGTAGAGCTGATGCCTCTCAGCAAGAAGGTCACCGGTTCAAATCCCGGCCTGGGGACCTTTCTGGGTAGTTTGCATATTCTCTCCGTGCATGTGTGGGTTCTCTCCGGGTACTTTGGCTTCCTCCCACAGACTAAAAACATGACTGTTAGGTTAATTGATAACTCTAAATTGTCCCTAGGTKTGARTGAGAGAGTGAATGGTTGTTTGTCTCGTTTGTCTCCATGTGTCCCTGTGATGGACTGGAGACCTGTCCAGGGTGTACCCAACCCCTCACACTGTGACTGCTGGATATGGGCACCAGTGACCCTAGAAAAGGAATAAACAGGTAGAGATTTTGGATGGATGCTCAACTCTGTCTTATTTTGGAGTAATACTTTGCACTGCACCACATCCCACCTGAGAAGGGGGACATTGAGTCCAGGTGGGCCAAGTTCCAGGCCTCATTTGTTGTTGCAGCTGCCTTGTGCTGTGGCTACAAAGTTGTCGGTACTTCTTAAGGTGGTCATCCTCRTATACACGGGGGACACCCTGGGTTAGGGAGGCTGTCAAAGGCTGCCTCCGGAAGGACTCCGGAGGCAGGTGAGGAGTATCGACAGGCCAAGTGGGCTGAAAACTTGGCTTTTTCTGAGGCAACAGCTCGGATGTGGGAGGAGTTTGGTGAGGCCTTAGATAAAGACTCTTGATTGGCTCCTGGTAAATCATGTGGCAACTGAGGCAAGGGAAAGCAGCACTTCACTAACACTGTGCTCAGTGTTTTTGAAGTGCTGCTTCCCTCGCCTCATAGGTAGCGTCCTGTTGACCTCAACCAGTGATGTCATCAGGAGATGAAGGAATATTTCTCAGACTCTCAATCCCACTGGTGTGTCTTTCATGGTGGAAGTTGAGTCTGAGGATCTCGGGGTTGGTATGTTCATAACTGGAGCTGAGGTTGCTGATGTAGTTAAAAAGCTGGGCTCCAGGGGTGAACGAGATCCACCTCTGGATGTTGGAGATACCATGGTTGACATGTCTTTGCAACATCACATGGATATCAGGGCAGTGCCAGTGGATTGGCAGACTGGGGTGGTGGATCCACTCTGTTCCAGTTACAGAGGCATCACTCTCCTTAGCCTCTCTGATAAGGTCTATTCAGGGCTACAGGAGAGGAGAGTCMGATCATAGTGGAACCTCTGATTCAGGAGGAACAATGCAGGTTCGGTCCTGACCGTGGAACACTGGACCAGCTCTTTACCCTCACTAGGGTCCTTGAGGGGTCATGGGAGTTTGCCCATCCAGTCCACATTTGTTTTGTGGACTTGGAGAAGACATTTGACCATGTTTCTTCAGGTACACTGTGGGGGGTGCTCTGTGAGTTTGGGATTGTGGGTCTGTTATTACGGTCCACTCAGCTCAGTTTGGTTTACATTGCTGGTAGCTGAATCCCTTCAGAGTGGGAGTTGGACTCCACCAGGGCTGCATGTTGTTATTGATGCTGTTCACAGGTTTTATGCAGCCAGCGGGCAGAGGGAGTCTGGTTTGTCTGCCTCAGTATTCARTCTCTGCTGTTTGCAGATGATGTGGTCATGTTGGCATCATCATGTCGTGATCTTCAGCTCTCAATGGAGCGGTTGTCAGCCAAATATGGAGTAGCTGGGATGAGGATCAGCACCTCCAAAGCTGAGTCAATGGACCTCAGTGGGAAAAGGGTGGATCACTGTCTCCAGGTTGGGGGTGAGGTTCTGTTTGAAGTGGAGGAATTCAAGAGTGAGGGAAGAATGGAGTGTGAGACTGATAGACTGATAGGAGCAGCTTCACAGTGTTAACTTTAAAGCTAGTATCCCTGACGAAAGACAAGTGTTTGAATTAAAACCAATGTTCTTATATCAGAATGCAGGGTCTTGTGGCCTTACATACTCTGGAAGTAATACTCTTTTTCTTTACTCTTTCTTTTTAAATAAAAAAACAAATATGAACTTGATTTTTCCTACATGGAGGGGTGTTCAGATTAAAATTTATTTCTAGAAACATTGAAAACATATTAATTTCAGGAACACAACTTGCTGAAGCCTCAGCACAGCTAGCTACTAATCTACYGAGGAGGATTTTGTGGAAGTAAAGAGCTTGTTTGAGAGGAAGAACAATCTGAAAGCTTTGATTCTAATAAATACTGTATTCATTTGAACTGGTCAGTGGAGACCTTTCAAACTGGACTTCATCATTTCTCTCTGTGTATGCAGACATATTGTGTTTTGTACAGAAATGATGAACAAACTAACCTGAGMTATGAGCAAAATGTTTCATTGCTACATTAGTTGCAGACTTTTGACATAATGAATTATTTATTTATTGACAATGTGATCTAGGTTTTCTTCATAGAACAGGTTTTCAGAGGTTCAAACTCAACTGTGATTTTTACCATAACTTACAATAAAACTCACCTATTTCTGCAGAAATTACCAAAAAAATGTTGCATTTAAATGAGATTTATTTAAATAGCATCAATTCACAACAAAATATCTCAATAACCACTTGATGAATTTTAATGAAAGTTTCAGAAAACTTTATGTACAAACACAACTGATTAACTTTTGGAGTCAACACAATTCAAGWTAGCCACCACAGCTAACTGAACCTAGCAAACACAAAAATGGCCATGATTCAGTTAATTTTACAGAAAGTTATGTCTAATGTGTTGTGCTGCTGGCTGTGATTGATCTCCAACATGAACTGTGACTGYAAGATGGTACAGAACGTTTTAAAGGTTTGACCAGTATATTTATAATTCCACTATTTCTCATCATTCATTATCAAATTATTTTGTTCTGTTTTTTAATAGTTTTTAATCCTGTCAGTGCTCCAGGGCAGCTGAGGCTGGAGCTTACCTCCATCTGTGTGGGTGAATGGGTGAAGTGGGGTCCGTAAGGACTTGATAAGGGGCTGTATAAGTTCAAACCATTCAGTTATTATGTTCTCTGTAAAGCCCTTTGTGATGTTTATCTGTGCGAGGTGCTGTACAAACAAAACATTACGAAATTAAAAAATATTGGAAGTCTGACATTAAAGGCAAACATAACTGCCTTTCATCAGGTAGAAAATATTTTATACTGAAGCTTTTTATGAGTTCAGACTTCGATACAATGTTTAAGATGATTTACAATTACATGCAAATTTCCAAAACACATTAAATGTGATTTATATTCAGTTAATACATTACAAATTTCACATGTAACAGAGTTTCTCCATTATTTTGCAGCAACTGAAAGAAACTTTAATTGATTTTGACTCATAGACTGAAAGTTAAAGAGTTCTTTTGTCAGTTGCCAGAGAAATGATGCAGACAATATACAGTATAAATAAAATAAAATAAAAACTGATGGAATCTAGATGTGTGTGCGTGTGTGTGTGTGTGTGTGTGTGTAAAGTAAATACTCAGGGGGAAATGTAAAATAAAAGCTTTGTTTTCTCAGAAAGGCACAGCAGCAGCTGTAAAAGATGAAAATAAAAACTGACCAGTAAGAACGATGCCAGTCATTCCTGTAGGCTCTCATCTGGAACATGCCAACATTAACTGAGGTCTGAAAGGACAGAGGAAGACAACAGTTTAAACATCAGCTCTTATGGTGGAAATATGGTTGATTCAGGTTTTTACAGGGAAGTGGAAGAGATGAGGAAACTTACCTGGAGCTCTGTCCACCCAGCTGCACCCATGTGTGTTTAAAACCACTGTCCACACACATACATGTCTCCATCCTGCCCATCACTTCACACAGTGCAGGTTCTACGGCATCATTCAGAAAACAAGGGTTCTTCTGCCTGAAACACTGGCACTGTGTGTGATTCATCCTCCCCAGTTCAGGGCGTGTGTGTGTTTGCATTAATGATGCGACACACAAACACAGCAAAAAGCTATCTGTTAATGGCCGTCAAATCCCCTGGATGGAGTGATGAAAGGAGGGATGGGGATGGAGATGGCCGCTTGGCAGGATTACAGAAGTAAAGCGAAGGTCTTATCACAAACCACAGAAATAGACTTGCTTTGCAAACACAAAACACACTTCATACACACACATCAGAGCACTAAGTTGGAGGTAAAACTTGTAAGAAAGGAATATGTTGAAAAGGYTTAAAGGATAAACACACGTCCAGCAGTGTAATCACAGTTTGGTAAACAGCCACACACTGAACAAACTGTACCGGTTAGGTTAAAGTTAGCCTTAACCCTAACCTAACCTAACCTAACCTAACCTAACCTAACCTAACCTAACCTAACCTAACCTAACCCTAACCTAACCTACGGCTTAGTTTCCACAACTGAAAAGTTTTAAAACCCTTCTTTTCACTTCACACAGGAGTCATACACACACTGCATGTCACTGACATGGGCTTATGAAACCTACTTAACACACAAGAGCCTCACAGGAATTGCTCGTAGACACTTAGGGTCTATTTGGGCTGGAGTTAGGGTGGAGGGAAAACTGGCCTCTGCTCCTCTTCTTACCCATTTTATTTTCTCTTTAGAACAACATGCATCAACAGCACATCTGGGGGTGTGTGTGTCGGGGGTCTTTGTTTCTTTTTTCTCTTGACCTACCCTGCTCTGCGATGGCTGCTTGGGGATGGGGTTCAGTTAGGGACAGACCGTCTGGTAGGGTCCTGGGGGGGTGGCTGGTGGTCTGTCTTCCCCGGGGTTGTTCGGTCTCTTGGATTGCAGCCCCTGGTTGCCATGKTTAGCCYGCTGGCTGGRGTGGCTGCTGGGGTCCGGCTGGTGGTCGGCTGGGGGGTGTGCRCYTGGCCATTGGCGGTGTGTGGGGGTGGTCKRGGGTGTTGCTTTGCTGTGGCGGGGGRCYRRCCRGCTGGCCCGGTGCAGCCTAGGCCGGGTCTTGGCTGTCTGCTCTTCCACACCCCAGAATGAATGGGCTTSCCTCCTGGGTTCAGACATGGCCTGCCCTCTGTAGGGGACAGGTACGTGTCTTGGACCTGGGGGGTATAGAGTGTGTATCGGGAGTGTGAGTGGGGTGTGGCGTTCTTCTTGTCTGTCTTTAAAAGAGTGGGTGTGAGAATGAGGGTGGGACTGTGTGATTGTGTTTGTGTATGATTATTTGTCAGGTTGGGACTCGGGCTGCCCCCTCATCTGGTTCACCTGATGGGCTCTGCCCCCCGGCCACACTGCCCTCTGGTTGGGGGTACCTCTGCTCGCCGGTGCGCTGGTGGCTCTTAATGTCTGGGGCTGGGTGCTTGGGCATGTGCCGGCTCGGCCTGGTGGCTGCCTGGTGGGGCTTGGGTCCTCTGGCCCTGTCAGG